ATACCCTTTGGTTGGTTGATGATGCATGGAGGGGATTGTAACCATGGCAATGAGATGATATATGATAGAATGAATGTAAAATTAATGTTCTCCCGTGTAAACTATCACATAATTCACAATAAAACATTTAAGAAAAACAAAAAACAGTCCCACAGAAAACTAATCTAACAACAAGAAGTAAATTAGGGAGGTGGGTGGGGAAAGATAAAACCAGGAGAATGGGCAGGTGGAGATGGACAGGAAAGGTGACAATCCTATTCTACTTGGGCATGTGTTTGAAATTTTCCAGATTAAAAGATAAAAACAAACAAACCAGATGCACCTACAAAAAACACAGGGGTGTTTGAATTAGACACTGAAGCTCAGCCCAGGCTTGAAAATATGGGAAACGAAACAGGTGTTTACAGAAGACATTTGCATTTGCCTGTTTGGGATACGACAGCTCCGCTTGTTAAGAAGTCTCCTTCTTTGCCATGAGCCCCCCACCCAGTCACACTCGAAGCCCAGCAACAAATGGGAAATGCTCAGTAAACAGGCATTCTCCCTTCAAAAAGACAAGGAAAGGAAATGTTAAAAGCAACGCTTCTTCACCTCTTTTTGAGAAATAAAAACCATGTGCCCCAGCGTGGCTATCTTCTTTGCTTCCAAAACCAATTTATCTAGCCAACCCTTTCTCCATCCTAAAGAGTCTGCAAATCACAAGAGACACAAGGATGTGCCTGAGCCTCCAAGAAGGAGGAGAAAAGTCAGTGAAAAAGAATATGAAGCTAGTGTGTCTACAGTCCTATTATGAATTGCTGGTACAATGGATTTTCATTAGCATACAGATTGTTTTACAAATGACTTTCAACTCTGACACAGCAAGACCACCCCTTCAATTTCTCCAGCAATTCCTAATGCTTCATGTCTGTCTGCTATTAGCTGTGCAGCAGGGATTGCCCTGAGAAGCTGGGGAAGGGAAGGGGAGAGGGCTGCTCCTCACTTGGCTTGTTTTCCTTGCCCTTGGAGGTAATGGTGAGGGTGTGCACGTAGAGCCGCAGGTACCAGGGAACGGTGTCCAGCAGCAACACGGGGAAGGCACGGTACGGGTGGGTGTTGTACAGCAGCGTGCTCAGTTCCCCCTTCTGCAGCCCGTAGCCGCTGACATAGCGCTGGGCATGCAGGAAGGGCACCGGCGGGGCCTCTGCAGGGAGGAAAGACAACCATGAATAGCTCCTAAAGGGGACGGCAAGGAGCCCTGGTGGTACAATGGTACACACTCGGCTGCCAACTCCAGGGTTGGTGATTCAAACCCACCTAGAGGCTCCACAGGAGAGCGACCCAGCGATCTGCTCCCAGAAAGATGACACTCTAGAAAACCTTACGGGACAATTCTACTGTCAGAGGGGTTGCTATGCGTCAGAATGGACTTGACAGCCCCAACACCAACAAGGAAGCATCAGCCGCTACTCCCCAGACCCTGCTCACTGTCCCAAAGCAGAGTAGGCAGGGAAAGCTCGCAGCCAGCCCTGGGCAGGTGGGTTCTGGAAGTATCCTCATCTTCCCCAGCCCACAAGCAAGGACGAAGAGGAAATGGCTACTACCTGCCAAGTACTTCCAGCCCAAACTAGACGTGCTGATGATATTCCACACCTTTCCCTGCTGATGCTGAACACGACCATAAATTAGTAACTGCTTGGTGTCTGCTTCAGTGAGAAGACATGTCTCTTGAATGCACGGTTCTTTCTGTCTTATCCACCACTCTATGACTGGCACGTCGTACAGATTCAAAACAGTATGCGTGGATTCACAAGCGCATGAACGAAGTCTGTGTCTTACAGTAATGATCTCACCCAAACCACTAGGTATGACTGTTCCCATTTTCCACATTGGGCACAAAGGCTCAGAGGGGGTAGGGATCTGCCACGTCATCAAGCTCAGATGAGGCAGAGCGCCTGACTTAGAGATCCTATTTAGCATCTTATGGTGAAGAGATCAGGCAGGTCTGCAGCCCGAGCACCCACTCACCACTGTCTGGACGTCTCTTCCACTTGAGCTGGAGGTTGAGGTGACGAGAGCTGGTGATCAGGGCTGTGTCATGCAAGTCGTAGACGGCATAGGTCTTCCGGGTGCCCAGGACAGTGTCCTGGTATGTGGTGGTGGGGGCTGGGCTCACTTCCAGTGTGTCATTGTCCTGGGGACACAGAGCAGAGCTGACAAGGGAGCAGGAGGGAGGTGGGCCCATGGACGGGGAGGCGGGCTGGAGACCTTTAGTACCTGGTTGAAGTTGGTGATGTCCACGTAGATTCGGCTCTCTGAAGCGAGGGGACAGGGCTCTGTGAGGGTTCGCGAGAACATTCGGAACAGGGACCAATCTGAAGAGCAGAAAGTGAGGCTGAGTGAGGGTCGGGCTGGGCCTGGTCCCCAAAGGCAGGGCTGTCAAGGCATCTTACCTTTCTTGCCCTGGCCTGTGGTAAAGGCGTCAAATACAACGGACAGCGTCTGCCTCAGCTCCCAGGAAATGCTGGTACAGTGTGCATCCTACCACAGGCCGACAGGAAGCAGTGAGTGGGGGTGAAACACCCACTGCCTCCAGGACGCCCACCTTGGCCCTGGTCTGTTGTGCATCTTCCCACCCACCGACTTGCTGCCTTGTGTTGCCCAATACTTTTTCCTGAGCTAGACCCTGTGCCAATAGCTTGACACGCACCATGCCATGACCCCTCACACGACCTTGACGATCAGTCATCCAGCAGGTGAGGAAGGCTAGGCTTGGGGAAATGACAGGACAGCTCACGGTCATGCCAAATGGCGAGTGACCGAGGAGCCTGCAGCCCATGGTCACTGCTTTCAGCCCTGTGCTCTGTCAGGACAGATCTCTGCTGGGTACGCGCCAGACAACCACTCTGATTCCTTGACGTGTGGCCAAAGCCCCAACCAATCAGCATCACATCTGTCACTTACCACTCGCTCAGGCCGGGCCAGACACACGGGTGACAAGCTTTATCTGCACTTGCTCTCAGGGCCCCTGGGTGATACCCACCCCTAGCCCCCAAGACTTACTCTGCAAATGGGGCGGATATGTACTGCCTGGGAGTGGTAGCTGGTGTGGAACAAGCGGTCTGCCTTGAGCAGCACAGAGAGGCCTGCCTGGAGGAGGTGGGAGGAGACAGCAAATGAGCCCTCTGGAAGGTGAGGAAAAGGCAGCTGCCAACTCCATCCACCCGTGGGCCCCCATGGGCCTCACCCTGGAGCTACAGGGTAGAAGTTTCTTCCAGGGGGTGAGGTTCTCGGTGCAGACGACCTCCCGCGGGAGCACGGCATAGCGCAGGAAGGAGTGATCCGTGCCTGCAGGAGGCAGACGGTGATCTGGGGTAGGCGACAGATGCCCACACCCCCTCCTGTACCACCAGTCCAGCGGGTGGGGCTCCTCCCCCTCTTGGGAGAAGGCCTTGGGGCCCCCACACCCCAGTGGGTGGAGGATGTGGCCAGAACTGAGGGGAGAGGAGGCAGAGGACAGGGCAAGAGGGGACGGGCAGAGAAAAAGGCTGAGGGGCACTCTCACCATTGGCCAGCCCCAGGGGCTTGAAGGAGGCCGTGGGAGTGACGGTGTTGGTGGAGTCGATGAAGTTGAGAGAGGCGCAGAAGATTCCCGAGAGGACGTTGCTAAGCTCCTGCCAGGATTTATCCACACTGCATGGAGACACAGACCCACACACTGAGCCACAGGACGAAGAGACTGTGCCCTTCACCACTGACCAGCTAGTCATGGGGTGCAGAGTGACATAGGTCCATCCGGCCCTCACATCACCACTCAAGCAAGTCCTTCTCTGTGCCGGCCATGAAGGTTCAGCTCCTGCCCTCCTCAGCCACAGCCTCCCTTGAGCTGCTGAGGCTCTGACCAGCCCCTCCTGGAGACTGTGAGGCGGTGGCAGCACCTGGCCCTAACTAGACCACGAGCACAGAGGACAAGAAATAAGTCTGGGTCAGCCATGTACCTCCCACACCACCCTGCAAAGTGTCCTCGCTCCTGAGGGCCCAGCTCAAGGATCTGCCCTGTGAAAACCCCGGGCATGAACATGCCGTCCTGTTTCTACCCTGGGGATGGGAAGTCTTAGATCTACAAGGCTCACCAAACCAGAGTTAAATGACCATTCTAGGACCCTGCAAAAACATTAAATTAAACTAAGCTTTTTTTCCAAGAGAAATAACAAAACAGGTTGGTTCTCCTTATTAATATTCTATAAAGGAGCTCTGCTAGCGTAGTGGTTACGAATCAGACTGCTAACCTCATGGTCAGCAGTTTGAAACTATCAGCTGTTCCGTGGGAGAAAGATGAGGCTTTCTGCTCCTGTAAAGATTTACAGCCTCAGAAATCCTGTACAGGGTCGCTATGAGTCGGAACCAACTCCACAGCACATAACAACAACTGAGCTCCACACAGTTTTCTAGTCCGTAATCTTTACGGATAGTAGCCCTGGTGGCATTGTGGGATGAGCACCGGACTGCTAACCTCAAAATCAGCAGTTCAAACCCACCAGCCGCTCCTTGGGAGAAAGATAAAGCTGTCTGCTGTTAATGAATGTTTAGTCTCAGGAGCCCTCCAGAATGCCCCACTATGGGTTGGAATCGACTTGATGAGAGTGGGTTCAGAAGAGTAGGTAACAAGAAGAAAAGGCACTGGACTACTAAATGCAAAGTCAGCAGTTCAAACCCACCAACCACTCCTCGGGACAAAGATGAGGCTCTCTGCTCCCATAAAGATTTATAGCTCAGAAACCCTCCATAAGGTTACTATGAGTAGGAATTGATTCGATGGCAGTGGTTAGGAAGGTCATTAACAAGACTGAAGTTATTCTGGTGGCACTGTAGGATAAGCAGTGGATTGCAAGGTCAGCAGTTCAAACCCACCAACTGATCTGCAGAAGAAACCCAGATTCCTGGTCTTGAAAAATGAGAGCAAAAGTAAGAGCAGTGAGCCCATGGCAGCAACCTATGGGGACAGAACAGCAGGTGTCCTCTAGATTGGCACCAGCTCTCTAGCCTGCTGCAGTCCCCACCCCTCCGTATCATTGCCCTAATGATACGGTTTCTTTGTTTTTGTGTAATTTTCAATTGTGTCCTGGGTGAAGGGTTACAGTCAGTTAGTTTTCCATTCAACAATTCATACACATTTTGTTTCACCTCATTGACTGCAATCCACACAATGTAACACCACTTAACCCACTTCTTGTATTTCCTGTTTTCATTTGTCCTTCTTCCCTAGGCCTTCTGATCTTTGTGCCTGGGTAAATGCTGCCCTTCTGATCTCAAATGGTTGATTTTTCTAAGGCGTGCTTACGTCCCTGTGCTACAGTTCCCCTTATAGAACTGCCTTTTGTCTGGCTGAAAAATTGAGCCATGGGGGTGAGTTCAGTTCCAGACCTGAAAGGGGACGAAGAGGCAAAGTAACAGCACTGCTGGTTTCTTACAGTGGAAGAGAGAAAGAATATTTATTTATTACTGTAAGAACATTTATTCTTACAGTAAGAGGGAAAGAACATTTATTTCTCATTCTTCTGACTCGGTAAAAATGTTTGCAGATTTCCTCACTGATGTTACCTGCCTGGCCCCATGAGTACACACAAGTCCGAAACTCTGCCTTGTTAGAGAAATCCTACTCTGGGTAAGATAATCACAACAGTTACCGGGAAATAATGTTTGTGGTCCAACAGAACTGACTAGACCCACCCCTCACCCAAACAAAAGCCATTACTTTTAAATACAGAAGTCATCAACTAGCAGCCTGTAGGACTATTCTAGTTCACAGATATGTTTTATTTGGCCCTCAGGGTATTTGTTATTATTATAATGAAATCTGAATGCCTTTTTTTTTTTTTTTTAATTCTCCAGTTTGCCACAGCTTTACCCAAGTGACTGTGCTCTATAGGAATGTGCATGTGTCATCGAAGGAGGGAGGAAGTGCATTCAGTAAAGGAGAGAATATCACTCAGCCCTATCATTCCTTACTGTCAACATCAGTCATGGAACGGCTGCCTGCAGTCCCCATAGACTATGGCAGCATGACAACATCCCCCCTGCCACGATCAACAGGATCCAAGTGTGAACTCACTCAGTAACGGTGTCTTGGAACCAGACCCAGAGCTCTGCACCTGATGGGGCTTGCAGGAAGGGTGGTCCCCAATATCGGGTCCGCCAGAAGCCTTGTGTGAGTGAAAGATGGAGCTCCCGTAGAGAATACTTGGAGACCAGCTGTCCCAGGGCTTTGGGGAAGAGCCTGTAATGAGACACTGGGGGAGGGGAAGCAGGCGGATGAAGATCTTGAAGGCAGGGCTCTTGGTCACCCTAAAGCAGCAGCAGCAGACCCCAGGATCTGGGTCAGAGAAAGCTGGATTCCAGACCAGATCTGGATTAATCGTAGTATCTTGAGCAACTTCCTTCACCTCTCTACACCTCAATTCCTTCTTGTAGTCGTTTATAGCACTAAGAACTGTCCTGTTGCTGCTTCTTGCCATCTAGTCGGTTCCGATTCATAATAACCCTGTATCGGGTTTCCTAAGAGTGACTAGTGAGCTTGAACCGCCGACCTTACGGTTCAAACCGACTTTGCAAGCACATTAACCCGCAGCGCCACACCAGGACTCCGAGAACTGTGCCTAGTATCCAGGATAAACGGTAGATACCAACAGCAGTAGCAGCATCGTTGCCAAGAGAAAACTGAAGATTTGGCATTGCTGCCTGGAGCTGCGGATAGAGCACTGGGCTGTGTCACAAGTCACTGTCCTCAGTTTCACCATTGGTACAATGGGGTCCCTCAATAAGTATCCCATCCAGTGACTGAACACTTTAGGCCCCACGCCCAGACACCAGACCCCTTGCCCATAGATTAGGCCCCGCCCCTAAGACTTGGCCCCCACCTCATCCCCAGCAGGTGCCACAGAACGCTTCCTGGGATCGGACACTTACCTCCTTCCCGTTGCAGATCCGAATCCCAGCGCGTTCGGAACTGGAATGTGGCGGCTACGTCCCCCGAAGGCAGCGGGGTGATGACGAGCTCCTCCCGTAGGCTATCGCGCGGAGGCTCTGCACGGCCCCGGCCGCCCGACCCTAGAAGAAGCAGGACCAAGAGAGGCAGCAGCAAAGCTGCCGCCATGCCTGCGGCTGCTTCCGCCTCCCAGTGCCCGCCCCGCGAAAGACCAGCATCCAATGGGAAGAGAGGTTGATAAGCAGCTTCCGGTGCCGTCCGAAAACCAGGATAGTTCTTAAACCCGTTTAATTGATTGGAACCAGACTGTAAAACATTAAGTTACTTTTGCTAAGTCTCACGCTGGTTCGACTCCTTTCGCTCACTATTTCTAGGAGCGTGAGTCAAAAGTTATCCGCATTCGGGTTATATTAAAACTTCCCTCTGTTGGCTGCACTATCCTATCAGCACTTTCCGTTCAAGATCACTTCTGTGCAGATGTATACAGTTGCATCAATTTATTTGTAACTGCGATACGAGAAAAAGGGCTGCCCCACCTGTGATTTGGAGTCCTGGTGTGGCGCTGTGGGTTAATGCGTCAGATTGCAAAGCCGTTTGAACTTCAAGGTTGGCGGTTCAAGCTCACCAGCTGCTCCGCGGAAACCCTATACAGGGTCGCTAAGGTTGTTATGGGTCGGAACCGACTCAACAACGGCACCTAACAACAACAACCTGTGATTTGCAGGAAGAGAGAGCAGCGTGCAGTGACAACATTTATTTGTGGTCTTAGGATGTACCTGGTGCTGACATTGATCCAAGACTATGGAGAAAGTGTTTTGTCATGAAGAAGTGTGTATGAATGGATAGAGAAGTTTAAGGAAGGTCACACAAGGGTCAGCCATGAAGAAGGAGCTGGACGCCCATCCATGTCCACAGCTGTTGACAACACTGAACAAGCACATGAAATGATTCTGTCGAATAGACAAGTGATAAGTGGATTACTGCAGATCATTTGCAAATCAGCCATGGATCTGCCTGTGAAATAATCCACAACAGATTTGGGTTTCGAAACATGGAAGAGCATAAACAGAAGTGTTTGGACATCTGAAACAAAATTTGGACAGATACTCAAAGGAAGGTGAAAGGTTCTTTTTTGAAAAATCGTCATGCCTGGAAAAGCTAGCGCAACAGAAGATACATCTTCAAAGAAAGATCAGCAGGAAAAACCCAAAACAAAAATGGCAATCTGATTGGCTAACTATAAGAACAAGCAAATTGTTTGCAGGGAAGCCATTTTGGCAAGCAATCAAGTCCCTTCAGGACAAATCCCCCTCCAAGACTGAAACTCAAAGGGAACACATGAGCAGGCATGTAAGCTTGCTGTCAACCACATTAGTCTATTGGTGAGTGGAAAAGGGGGAAAGGCAGCAATGAAGAAATGGGCTGAGTTCATTCATGTTTCATAGATTCCTGTTGACCTGTAGATGAGCGAGAGAAGAGGAAGGGCTGGTTGGTCCAAAGTGTGGTGAGACCTGAGGACTCCTGAGCCCATGAACAAGGACATAGCCACAGAGGGCTAAAGCTGAGAGTGAAGCATTCAGCTGATACGAAGTGAGGCGAGATGCACAAGAATGCCTAAACTTGCAGATAGTACCAACTAGAAGAAAATTTTTAAAAAAAAATTTTGATAAAGGAAACGAGTGTATATTGCTACAATTTGATGAACTTGACCTATACTTATGGATGTAGTAGCTCAAAACACCAACTGAGAGGAAAGTACTCTGCACATCAAGTATCAATCCTATCCCCTTGTATAAAGGGTAGATAGGGACGGGCAACTTAGACATTGGCTACCTAAATTGAAGGGGTGATAAAGGCACGAAGTGACTGGTTTGCAAGTTTTAAGAGGGAGTTTAAGTGTATGCAGGGGAAGATAGAGTCCCCACTGAATAGTTTTCATCTTGTCTAGACAGGTCTGGGGAAAAGAGATGGGGATAAAATTCTGATGATTCAATAGTAATTGTTACCATGACTAATTGTGACTGTCACAGCTGTAAAGGTAGAGGTTTTGTAACAAAAACAGGGGAGTAGTTAATCTTACAGTCCAGAAACAGAGGACCCTAGGACTGTCAAGGGAGAAGAACACAAGTGGAATGAGGGACCCTATCCAGAGACGCAATGACACCAGAGGCAGAGATGGGGCCATGGAGAAAGACGGCAGCTGAGGACTCTAGACTCATGGAAAGAGAGGGACTGAGGCTTGGCAGCGGAGGCAGCCTTGCAGAATGTGCCCTTTGGTTGTTTAAATTATATATTCCTGAGTGTTTCTGTGTACATCTCCCCACCCCAAAATAAGAAAAACAGATGAATGGAAGCAAATACTGTTGAATAATGATGAACTGAGGAGATTGTAATCATTGCAATTAAATGATGGTGTAAACCTATGTTATCCCATGTAAACTATCACTCAGTTCACAATACACACACACACAAAAAAAATTGTCACTAATAATGAGACGTGGATTCATCAAGTACAAGCCTGAGAGTAAATGGCAGAGTATGGAATGGAATAGCATAGTGGTTACAAGTTGGGCTGCTAACCTCAAGATCAGCAGTTCAAAACTACCAGCCATTTTGTGGAAGAAAGATGAGACTTTCTTCTCCCATAAAGATTGTTGTTGTTATTTGCCTAGGGAACTAGGCTTTTTGTTAAGCCTTTGTAAGGTATGGGGCCTTAGGTGGAACCTTCTGAGTTGGGACATTCCCACTCAAAAAGACATACAGACCAACTCAGAACTGCTAGGAAAACAGAAGCATCACATTGAAAGAAAGGCCTGAAGAAAAAAAGCTGACTGTTTGGCTGTTCGAAAATTAAGCAAGCGGTTTGCTTTGGAGGCATCAAGGCACAAAAAAATCAACCCATCAAGGAAAACCCCTTTGGAAGACTGAAACCCAAAGAGAATCGTGAGCAATCTAGTATACTTGCTAGTGACCACCTGGGGCTACTTATGAGTAGACATGGAGGAAATGCAGCAGTGAAAACATGGGCTGTTTGGCCATGTTCCATTGACACCCATTGACCTCGAGATGAGAAAGAGACGAGGAAGGCCTGGCTGGTCTGAAGTTTAGGGAGATGTGTCAACTTCTGAGGCTCTGGGCACTGACTTACCACTGGGAGCTAGAGTTGAGAGTGAAGCAACCAGCAAGTCTGAAGTGCAGTGAGGTGTGCATGAACTCCCAAACTTGCAGCTGGTAGCCATTTGACCTAGCTTAGATGGCTGGCTTACCAGAACTTGACCAGATGAAGATAAAGATTCTTGATACTATGAGCAAGTGTGAATTGCTACAATTTGATGAATTGGACCTTTGTTTATGGATAAAGTTGCTCAAAATTTCTACCGGAATGGAAGGATTCTTCATATGAAGGAACAAGCTTGTTTCCTCAATACACTGGGTTGATAGGGATGGGCAATCTAGACATTGCTTATCAAAAATGGGGGTATAAAGGCATGAAGTGGCTGATTTACAAGCTTTCATGAGTGTGCTTAGTTTCAGAATGAGTTGGGAAAGGTAGAATCCCCACTGAATGGTTTTCCTCCTTTCCAGATGGATCTGGTGAAAAGATATGGGATCTGATGCTGATAGGATTTTATGATTCCATTGTAATTGTTAGCAGGATTAATTGTGATTGTCAACTGTAATTGTATAAGATGTGTAACTAAAAAAGGGGAATAGTTAATCTTTCATTTCAGGAACAGAGGATCCCAGGACCATCAAAAAGGAGGAGCATGAGTAGACCATGAAATCCTACCTAGGAAAGCAGCAACAGCAGAGAGAGTGGCAAAGGTGATGGCTTGGGAAGATAGAGCAGCTGTGGGCACTAGGCCCATGGACTGAGAAAGGCTGTATGTCTGTGGGAAGGAGGCTGGCTTGCAGAATATACCCTAAGGACACTTAAATGAATACATGCTTTTTGTTTTGTATATGTAATCAAATATTTTGGCTTTGTTCATTTGTGAAATATAAGATGTAAAAGGGAAGCCACAGGGAGGAAGCAGGATAATTATTGTTGCAGAGAGGGGATTGTAATCACTGAGATGAAACAAAGTGTATAATGTAAAGCTGATGATCTTGTCTGTTAACCTTCACTCAATTTACAATAAAAAGTTAAAAGAAAAGAAAAAGTTCAAAAGTCAGCCACCAGCTATAAAATCGATGCTTACAGTTTTCTGGGATTTCCAAGGGCCAGTACTGGGCCACTATCAGGAAAAAGTTCAACAATCAAAAGTGCTTGTTACAGTAAGATGCTTAGTGAAGAGCAGGGATTAAATGCAGAGGACTGCTATCCAAGGGCGTTATGATTTTGCATGGCAATCACATCCACACACCTCTGCCCACACTGTTGACACTCTGCTAAAGCATTCTCCCTATAGTCCTGATCTTGCTCCATAGGACTTTCACCTGCTTGGCCCCCTGAAAGCAGCCCTTCGAGAATAAAGATTCACCTCTGATGAGAAGTTAAGACAGCAATGCACTCACGGCTCACAGCTCAGCCTAAAACATTTTAAAATAAAGAACAGATGGACAAAGTAGATTGAAAAGCAAGGAGATTATGATGAAAAATTATGTATTTGTCTTTTCTAAATTTATTATATTTTACAGCCAGAGTGCGGATACTTTTTGACTCACCATTGTAGTATCTCCATTAGCTCCGTCCTAAATCTGTTCAAATTCTCTGGTGGCAGAGCTTTTCTGTAAAATCCCCCAATCAATGGCCCTTTTGTTATAAATATTTTCAAGTAATACAGCAAAATTGAAATAATTTAACAGTGAACACATTTTCCCACCACCTAGATGCCACTGTAAACGTTTTACTATACTTGCCCTGGTGGTGCTGTGGATTTTGCACTGGGTTGCTAATTGCAAGTTCAGCAGTTCAAACTCACTAGACTCTTCACAGAAAAATGAGGCTGTGTGCACTAGTAAAGATTTATAGTCTCAGAAACCCTAGAGAGCAGTTCTACTCTAGCCTATACAGGGTCGTTGTAAGTCGGAACTAAATCGATGGCAATGAACAACGACTACTCTTGTCCTATAGGGTCTTTATGAGTCGGAATCGACTAGGTTACACTGGATTTGGTGTTATGATTTTAGCCCACTTGCTTCATCAGATATTCATCTATATATCCATGACTCTTATATTTTGATGCACTTCAAAGTAAATGGCAAACAGTACATTTTCCCCTAAAAACTTAAGCATGTTTAA